CCAAAAGGGAACAAAGCTGCTTCCTCCTCTCTCTTCCAGTTTTCAGTCACTTCCCCGGCTACCCACAATCAAATTGGGTCCTTCTGGTGTTGATTCCTGGGTGGGTGGGCTTGTGTGCATTCTAGAACCCTGTGGGTCTTTGTAACGAACTCTCCTGTGAGACTGGGAGTTCCTTCCACTGCTGCCTCTACCCCCACAGGTGCTTTCAGTTAGAGGCTTTGAGGCTTTATTTTCCCATGCTGGGCCCCTGGGTTGCAGCAGTCTGTCTCATGCCCCAGCTGTTCCTCCTGGTTTATCTGCATGTGAATGTGGGACTGCCCAGTCCACCAGCCGCCACCTTGCTGCAAGTCCTCTCTGCCCCCGCTGCCTGTCTCCTCCCCTCCTACTGGTCTTGATGAATGTTTCTTCTTTAACTCCTTGGTTGTTGGACTTCCATACAGTTTGATTTTCTGTCAGTTCTGGTTGTTTTTTGTTTTTAAATGTGTTGTTGTCCTTCTTTTGGTTGTGTGGAGAGGCACAGTGTATCTACCTATGCCTCCGTCTTGGCCCTACTTATTTATTTTTAGAGAGAGGGGAAAGGAAGAAAGAGAGGGAGAGAAACATCGATTGTTGCCTCTTGCATGCCCCTCACCTGGGACCTGGCCCAAAACCCAAGCATGTGCCCTGACTGGGAATTGAACCAGTGACCTTTTAGTTTGCAGACCAGCACTCAGTCCACTGAGCCACACCAGCCAGGGCTGTGGTTTTCTTTTTTATCAGATAAACCCTTTACTGGGTTTATACCCTTTATTTATTATATTTATTTATTATATTATTTATTATATTATTTATTATATTTATTTATTATATTATTTATACCCTTACTGGACAAATATAATTTTATGGCTATCAGCAGTTGGTCTTAAATGGGAATAATTTTGCCCTTTGGGGGACATTTGGCAATATCTGGAGGCATTCTTTGTGGGTGGGAGTGTGTGTGGATATGTACTTTATTTTTATAATTAAAAAAATTTTATTGAATTTATTGGGGTGACATGGGCTAATAAAATGATATAGGTTCCAAATGTACAATTCTATAGTACATCATCTGTATTATTGTATTATGTGTTCATCACCCAAAGTCAAATATCCTTCCATCACCATTAACCCCCCTTTCTCTCTGGTAATCATCATGCTATTGTCTATGAGTTTTTTCCCCTTAATCCCTTCACGGGGCTCTCCAATCCCCCTTCTCTCTGACAGGTGTCAGTCTGTTCTGTGTATCTATGAGTCTGTTTCTATTTTCTTTGTTAATTTTGCTCATTAGGTTTCACATATAAGTGAAGTGTTATTTGTCTTTCTCTGCGTAATCCTCTCCCGGTCCATCAATACTGTTGAAAAAGGTAAGATTTCCTTCTTTTTATGGTCAAGTAATATTCCATTGAGTGAATGTACCACAGCTTTTTTATCCACTCATTGCTGATAGGGCTGCTCTCAAATCCTGGCCATTGTAAATAATGCGGCAATGAACACAGGTGCATATATTCTTTCAAATTAGTGTTTCAAGTTTCTTCAGATATATTCCTAGAAGTAGAATTGCTGTGTCATAAGGAAAATCCATTTTTAAATTTTTGAGGACCTTCATACTGTTTTCCACAGTTCGCTGCACCAATCTGTATTCCCACAAACAGTGCATGAGGGTTCCCTCCTCTCGGAAGATATTTTTGCAGACACAACCTGGGAGGGGGGAGCACTACTGACATCTAGTGGACCCTGTGGGCGTGACTGCATGGGATATGCTCACTTTGGTAAGATTTTTTTTTTTATGTACTCTATCTGCAGGTCAGGCTACATGGATTAAAGCTCCAAAGCTGCTATCGCAATTTTCATCTATTTTTGTATTAGCACAAAAGTGGAGAGTAATGCTTATTCTACCTTTCCATAACCTTGTTTTTCCTAACTCTCCACCATGGATGGAGCACTGAAAGAACAGCTGAAGCCACAAACCTAAGGCCTGCACAGCCAGACAGCGGCATGAGGTTCACCATGCTCCCCATGGATAACCTCATGAGTCAGCTTGCCTCCCTAAGCTCAGGCAGAAAGCTTCATTTCCCCAATACAGCCTTTGTTTTTTACAGGTTCCTCAATGTGCTCTCCTCAAAGGACAGAGGGAGAAATGTATTCTAGTAGGTGATTGTTCTGTCATTCTTTCCTTTAAAATTAAAAAATGTGTGTGTGTGTATTTGAGTGGCAAAGGCATGTAGCCTGGCCCTGGTCCCGCCACTAAGTAGTTGCATGGAGCTGAGCAGGGCACCGGTGCTGGTTTTAATTTCCACACTGACATGGAGAGCATTGGACCAGCTGATACTTCTCCAACATTTTATGGTTCTATTTTCTGTCACAAGCCTATCCTTAGTAGGTAACCTGGTCTGGAATCTCACCCCTTAGTGTAACAGTCTCTGCGGGAGGTCCTCTTTGAAACTCCCTCCTCTGTTTGACATTGAGGACAATGAAGCCTTCCTACAGCGAATTCATCCTAAAGGGACGGAGGTTAAGACTTCAGTAGATTCGCTCTGTTCTAATAAATGAAGAGTATGAGCCTTTTGAAATAGATACAATATCCCATTACTTGCTTTGATAAGGGTAACTGTAATGTGAAACTGCACATCCAGAAACTAAGCACTGGTATTCTTTAGTTCATTCCTGATTTTTTCACTGATAACAGTACTCAAAAAGAGATTTCTTGCCCAAATGACCTGAATGTTTCCATTTTTAATGTCTGTTAAGGTTTTGTTTTTCTTCAAGATAGTCTTTCGCTGACCTATTTTCACAAGCTGAAATGAGCAGAAAAGTCAAGTGTGACGATTCTCAATCAGCAGGGAGAAGAGGGTATTTCAGAAATTCTTGGAAATTAAATTTGAAAAAATCATACCTAGACTTTAAAACATTATTATTTTTAAAGATTTTATTTATTTAGTTTTAGAGAGAAGGGAAGACAGGGAGAGAAGCACCGATGTGTGGTTGCTTCTCACGCACGCCCAACTTCAGATCTAGTCTGAAGCCCAGGTATGCGCTTTGACTGGGAATCAAACCAGCGAAGCTTTGGTTCACAGGCTGGCACTCAGTCCACTGAGCCACACCAGTAAGGGCTAGACTTTAAAAGTTCATTTAAAAATTTTTTTAATCCTCACTCGAGAATGTGCTTATCAATTTTATCGAGAAGGGAGGGATGGAGGGAGGGGAGAGGGCGAGAGGGAGAGAGAGAGGCATTGATATAAGAGAGAGACATTTATCAGTTGCCTCTTGTACATGCCCCAACTGGGGACTGAACCCAACACATAACCTAGGCATGTGCCCTGACTAGGGATCGAACCCACAACCTTGTGGTGTACTGGATAACATTGCAGCCAATTGAGACACACTGGCCAGGGCTAGACTTTCATTCTAAAAATTTCCTACTGTTTTCATAACAGTGATTTAGAATTCCAGCAATCAGCTTGATAAATCTATGGCCAGCACTTCTAATTGCTTACCTGTGTCCTCCTCTTTCCCTGCTAAAAGAAGCTTGGTTTTGTTCCCTTGGCCACAGCCCCAAGAAATGAATCATGATTGGTCCAAATCTATCATGACATCCTCTTTCCAGCCTTCCTTGCAGTGAGAAGTGGCCATCTGAGCCAGTTCTGGGCCCAGAGGCACAAAGGGGTCTGTTGGAGTCACTGTTGGGTGATTTTGAAAGTTGTGTGGCTGTCTGTGCTTCCAGCAGCCCTCTTCCAACCTTGACAGCTGACAGTATGCAGGTGTCAGCTTTGACTGCTCCGACTGCTTCCTGCGACCTCCTGGTAATAGGGCCACAAATCAAGGATGAAACACCCTGGCTTTTTCACGGCATTTTTGAGTTGTGGCTAAAATAGAGGTGCCAGATAAAATAGAGGACACCAAATTACATTAGAATCTCAGAAAAACATCAGTTTTAAATATGTAATATTTGGGACTGACTGATACAGAATGTTATTTGTAATTTATCTGAAATTCAAATTTTACTGTGTGTCCTTTAATTTTTTCTCCTAAATCTGGTTTCTCTATGCACAAACCCTTAACTGCCTGCCTTGAACTTTCTTGTTATATCAAAAAAAATAAAATAAACCCCAATGAGTTTAAGCTATTAGTCAAGTAACATATTGATAGTGTGCGAACTCATTCCTGATTTAACAGTAATCTATAAGTAACCAACACTTACTGCATGTTCGTCATGTGCCAGTCACTGTGCTAGTCAGCACATGTGCAGTGGAGGTGTATTCACAGCTAAGTCACAGAGGCGGGTCCTTCCTTCATGGAGTGTGTAGTCTAGCTGGAGAGACCTAGCTGGAGAGACCGTCACTCAACAAGAGATTCTGTAAGTGGCAGTACAATTACCATTGTAATTAGTGCTTTGAAGAAAATAGGAGTCTTTGAGAGCACCAACTAGCAGGGATCAGGAAAGCCTCCTGGATGTGGGGTTTTAGGGGAGATCTGAAGGAAGAGGAGGAGTCAGCAAGCTGGTTGTGGGGAAGGGTTGCAGAACCTGCTCTAAGCATTGGGGGCAGCATGTGTGCCAGCTGTGAGGCAGCGAGGGTCCTGGTAGGTTTGAGGAGAGGTCCCAGTGGCTGAACAGTAGTGGGCTGAGGGATGGGAAATGAGGCTAGAAAGCCTTGTGGAGGCTAGGTTGGTTAATGCCTAAGAGGTTATTTTAAGGGTTTCAAACTTTATCCTTATTCTATACTGTATCCTAATATGTAATATTGATATCCTCATCTTCAAAAGAGGAAATCAAGACTTTCGATAGCTTGATCAAAGTCATATAGCCACTAAGTAGCTAACCTGTAATTTGAGCTCAGGTGTTTTTTTTTTTAATTTTTATGTGTAGTATGTGACAAAAAATTCCTAATCACTACCATGTGCAAGCTAGTTAGAAATATAGAAATAATGAGAGCTAACCAAATGAATCTGTAGAGAACACATAAAGTTAATATAATTATGTATTTTATGTTTGTAAGGGCTGAAAGGATTGTGAGCAATCTGTTATTTATAACCAAAAGGTATTGATACAATAGATAATTTAAATTCCAGCATTCAAAAAGGCCTAACAAAATCACAAAAATCAAACTGCCTGAAAGTGCTTTCCAGTGAAAGGTACTCTGTATTACATGTCATTGAAGTAACTATAACTTATTTCTGTGACTTTAGAGCATTGGTTTGACAAAAACAAAACAAAACACAGGGAAAAACCCTATTTGTAACAATGTCTCCACCTAAGTGACACAACCATTCAGTGGTTTTAGATATACACAAAAAACAATGACAGAACCAACAATGAGAAAGCACACACAAAAGTTACTGTGGGAAACTGTTGATTCATTTAATGGGACTGGTACTCCTGGCAATACCATTATTTGCAGGAGGTGGACATTGATATGGGATGGTAACTAATAGTTTTTAAAAATTAAAAATAGAAAAACACCAGAGTACATCACACATAAGGTAAATGTTTTATGATACTTGATTATGTGTGTGCACCCACACACATACATGCACACACAGACAAACGTACATACAAATGTAGACATGCTTACACACAAATGACAGATTACATTTATACTGGGTTGTGAGGTAAATCTTATCCCTTACTCTGGCTCTCATTTAGAGAAGTTTGACAGTCACAGGCATAGAGGAACTGATTTCACTGTTCATTAGCTATTATTCTATATCTATGTACTCCTTGGAATGAGAACAACTCATTAACATAAATTCCTGACTATTGGCCTGGATAACTGTTTACTGTTCCACGTGTTGGAACAGTATGCTAGATGTGTGCTAGAACACATCTAGCTAGAAATCATGTGTGCTAGAACAAATGAAAAAACAGCTGTCATTAGAACAAAGCACATGTTATATCTTGGTTAAGGTTCCTGAATAAGGTTCTTGGTAAAGTTTCTTAGTTCACCCAGGAAGAATTCAGTGCCTTCTATTTGTATGCTGTTACTTGCAGACCTTGGGAATAAACAGGATAGAAATTAGTGGAGAATTCCAATTCTCATTTTATGAAATCTTCACACTAATAACAGTATTCTATGGCTGTTAAGATTACAGGGATTCTAGCCCTGGGCAGCTAGCTCAGTTGGTTAGAGCACTGTCCCCATACACCAAGATTTTGGGTTTGGTCCCTGGTCAGGGTACATATAAGAATCAACCAATGAATGCATAAATAAGTAGAACAAATTGATGTTTCTTTCTCCACACTCAAAAAATCAATACATAAAAATTAAAAAAAGATTACAGGGATTCTGGAACCAGAAATGTTGGTGTTCTGTAAAGAACTTAATAGAGTCCAAACCTCATTCTTTAAATCCTTGCATTAAATTTAAGCCTATGTTAAGATCAGATATCCGATGTCATTTGCCATTGGTACAGTAATCCTTGACTTCAAGGAATGAAATAGTTTGAGAACTAGAGTATATCACAAAAGGTGGCGGGCTGCAGAATTTTTGTTTTGGAGTGCTGTTCTTGATTTAGGGAAATAAGTATTGTTGCCTTTAATCATTTTTCTTTTCTAAAAAACAAATTTTTAATTACTTATTTTTAGAGAGAAGGGCAAGGAGGAAGAAGGAGAGGGAGAGAAACATGGATCGACTGCCTCTCATACACACCTCAACCAAGGACTGCACCTGCACCCAGGCATGTGCCCTGACCAGGAATTGAACCTTCAACCCTTCGCCTTGCGAAATGCCTAACCAACTGAGCCACACTGGTCATGGCTTTAATCATTTTTTTTCTTTTTTCCTTTTTATTTAATTTTTTATTGTTGTTCAAGTACAGCTGTCTCCATTTCCCCCCCCCCACCTCCCCCACCCAAGTCATGCCCTAATAATTTTTCTTAAACCAAGGAAGCCTAGTCAAATATTTAGTGACTTTGACTTAGAAAGCCAGCGATAAACCTACTGCATTCTTATTATACACCTCATGTTGGAGGAACACATTTTTTAGTATAATATTTAATCTTTGAAATATGTAAAATCTAAAAATGATTATAATCTTTGACCAAGCAATTGCTACTCTGAAAAATGTTAATGTAATTCAAAAAGAAAACCAGCAATCTGTGCAGATATTTTTATAGCATGTTATTTGCCAAATATCCAACTATTGGAAAATGACTCAATAATCTTATGTCAGTTTGAACTATTATGCTACTATTACTTTGTAATTAGATATTATATTTTAAATTCAGTATAGAAAAATGCCAGAAAGAAAAATATAAACATTTGATTAAATTTTTATTTTCAAATTTCTTTTTAAAAATTTCTTACAGTAATTACATTAAAAAATGATTTTAGAGAAGGGGGAGAGAAAGGGAGAGAAGTAGAGAGGGGGGGAGAAACACCAATGTGTTGTTCCATCCATTCATGCATTCACTGGTTGTTTCTTGCATGTGCTGTGACTGGGAATCGAACCTACAACCTTGGCATATCGGGATAACACTCCAACTAACTGGGTGACACAGGCAGGGCCTATTTTGAAGTTTCTTATTCCTATTTAAAAGTAGACATGTGACATCTTCTGCACTAAGATGTTTAAGTCAAGTCTTATAATTCACTTTCAATGAGCAACACAGAACTAAGCCTTCACCTTTAATCCTTTAACTGGGAGAGCTAATTATTAGTTTTATTCAATTTCATTATATAATGGACTCTATAAAGCTTCTTAAGTATTAAATATTAATTTAAAAAAGAAATGAGCATCACAATTAACAATGGAAACTATGTAACCATACAGAAGATATGAATGTGAACAGCCAAAACATTGGGTGTATACTCATTAAATTTTAACACTGCTGACTGGTGGAAATATAGGTGATTATTTTTTCTCTTTTGCTCTTATATTAAAATTTTATTTTGTAATTAATATACTTTTATAATGAGATGAAAATGAACCTTCTTAAAGAAGTTTGAATGTTGCTGGTGGCTAGACTATTTTGTTATACTAAGAACAGGTAATGATTCAGTTTTGCCTCAAAGTCTGGATTTAAATAAGGATTCAATTAAGGGTTAAATAAGGATTAAATTAAATATATAGCTTCATATCCTTACTCACCTGGGTCACTTATTGTTGCATTTTTAATTAAATCCAATCTTTGTTGTTTCCCTTTTGTTATTATTATTTTATCACAATTACTATTTAATATGCATGGAGTGGAAAATTAGTTAAGCAGTTTTATGAGATGTTAGGAGAAGCTTAAAGAGTAGTCAGCAGAAACGTCGTCGGAGGGCCTCCCTACTAGCTCAGTCCTGAACTGAGGGTTAAAGCAGGCTATGCTGAGCACCCCTCCAGGCTGGCTTTGCCAGGACGCTGTGGTTGGGAGAAATGGGAAAGACGGTGGGTTAATATAACACAGTAACTTATTTAAGCAACTGGAAAAAACATAAAAGTCTTTGATGTAGCAAAAGCTGATCTGCTTTGGATTTTATTTCTCTATTAACATATCTGTTACATACAGGGGTTGGGCAAAAGTAGATTTACAGTTTGTTTGGAAAATACAATAATTAATTAATGCTAAAAATACAAAAATTTTAGCTCTGTTTTCTGCATACTCACAACTGTAAACCTACTTTTGCCACTCTGCATTTTCTTCTTTTTAAACTTTATCTAATATCTAGTATACAAACAAGATGGCCTAAAAAGGTATAGTTAAATATTTCCTTACAGGCCTCTAGGACATAGGCAAAGAAAGAAGAGGGTGTAACACTCATGGACATGTACTTTCTTGTGGGCTTTCAGCACCTGTCAAAACATGCCAGCTATTCTTGGGCCCTGGACCAGATGGCAAAAGCTGGCATTTGGTATGGAACTAGGTGCCATTTGCCTGAAGTACATGATCAAGGATCCTTTCATTTTTATCAGCAAGTAGAGCATAAGGCCAAACTCCAATATGTGACTTAGTCACCGAGGGAGAATTGGACCTGTGCACTGGCTGTTCCTGAGAGGATGGAAAAGTCTAGGTGGCCAGCTGCTGAAACGCTCTTGAAGTACCTCATTAGGAACAGAAAGGAAGCCAATAACCACTGTAAAAATGGCTTTGGCTCAGGTGCTATCATTTACAAAGGCAGAGCCCCTCCCTTCTCCCTTTACCCTTTGTGTCCATTCATGCTGGTGCCCTGAGATTCACTGTGGGAGGTCTGCCTTTCATCACACTAACAGATGGCAGGGGTGGGCAGGCCTATCTGGCAAGAATTATAATTTCCACTAAGAAGTAATTTAATTATGGTCCTGAAATTTCTTCAAATGGGTTCATGCCTACAGGAAGGGCTGATCCTGAAATCAGGAGTATGTAGGATCAATAAATTGCCTGGCTGGACTCAGTCTCCGGACAGACAGGAATTTACTGAAGACATGGCAAATCTAATTCTTATTGAGAGATGATGACATTGGGACTGGGGCAGTTGTGTCTCACCAAAAAAAGCATGTAATGTTCTTGCCCTGGCTGCTGTGGCTCAGTGGACTGAGTGCTGGCCTGTGAACCAAAAAGTTCCTGGTTTGATTCCCAGTCAGGGCACATGCCTGGGTTGTGGGCCAGGTCCCCAGTTGGGGGCATGTGAGAGGCAATTGATGATTGTCTATTACTTGCACATTCATGTTTCTCTTCCTCTCTTTCTCCTTCCCTTCCCCTCTGTCTAAAAAAGCATGTGATGTTCTTCACTGCTGGAGTGACTTACACTGTCTTCTCTTGAGTCAGCTGATTGCATTTTGCATGAGATAGCCATGAAAATCCTTTCAGTTCAGATCTAACAGCAGTTACATCTATAGTTTTGTTTTCCAGCATGCCTTGCTATCCTCCTTCTTCTGTTTTCTACCTCCTGTCCTGCTTTCCTTTTGGAGAATTTTCTCCTTTTAATTCAGGAGGCTTTAGGAGGTGTATTTAACTTACAACATCAGTACATGATCCAGTCCTAGCTAGTCAGAGTATACCATCTCCCTGGCCATAGTGACTGGTTTAGCAAAAGTCATGTGACCCAAGTAGGATCAATCAAAGTCTTCCCTGGGAATTTTCAGCTAGGCTAAAATGCAAAACTGCTTAAAAAAAAAAACAAAACACTATTTAAGGGGAGGGGTGTTGGGAGCTGGGTGAATCAGACACAGGAATTAAGACATATAAATTGGTAGTCCCAAATCAGCCATGGGTCATAAAGTATGGCATAGGGAATAGAGAGTCAATAATAACGTAATAACTTCATGTGGTGCCAGCTGGGTGCCTGAAATATTGGGGAGATTACTCTAAGTTATGTGACTGTCTAACCACTACGCTTACACCTGAAACTAATATAAAGCCGTATGAATCTCAAGTATACTTGAAAAATAAATTAAAAAATTGTTTAAAATAAAAAAAATTTTTTAAAAGCTTGCCAAAGCAGTGAGGATAACATGTAAACCCCTACCCCAACACCCAGCTCCAACATTTATCAGCCCATGGACAACCTTGAAAATGGATACACTGTCCTTTTGCACTGGAGCTGCTGGGCCTAGGAGGACAGTTCTTCCAACAGACATGGCGTCTGCCAGTGACTGATGTATGTCAGTGACTCCTGCCCGTGTACATTTTTTGCTTAAGCAAAATTTAGGAGAATCTCTGTCACTTGCAAAATGTGTTGTCTAATATGAAAATTTTTAAAGAGCCCTGGCCAGTGTGGCTCAGTTGGTTGGAGTGTCATCCCATAGGCTGAAGGATCACAGGTTCCATTCCATCAGGGCACATGCCTAGGTTGTGGGTTCGATCCGTGATTGGGGTATGTAGGAGAAGGCAGCCAACCAATGTTTCTTTTTCACATTGATAGGTTTCTCTCCCTCCCTCTCTCTCTAAAAGCAATGAAAAAAAATGTCCTCAGGTGAAGATAAACATTTTTTTTATTTCAATAATTTTTAAAATCTTGCTTTTACTTCTGAGGCATTTGGGAAATAGAAATTCATGGAAAATATTTTTTAAACCCTTACTGAGGATATGTTTTTATTGGCTGAGAGAGAGAGAGAGAGAGAAAGAGAGAGAGAGAGAGAGCTATCAGTTGCCTCCCATATGTACCCTGATCGAGAATCAAACCTACAGCCTTTTGGTACACAGGACAGTGCTCAAACAAACAGAGCCACCTGGCCAGGGCATGGAAAATCTTTAAGAGGAATAAAGGAGAAGGGAAGCTCTAGACATTAAAATAAGACCACCAACATTTTAACTTTACTCAGTCATAGGATAATTTCAGTGTCATTGAAATAGTAACTGTCCACTAAAATATTTAAATTACATAACATAAATATTATTAAGAGATATAATGTAGGGTGAATATCTTCACCCTTAAAAAAATAATCAAGTCCCTGAACCCATTCAGAGTCTCTGATTCTGAATTATCTTCAAAGCATTGAATGAATGGATACAATCACTCTTATATTAGCATTCTGATATTCCATTTTTGGTTATGTGATGAACCATAATCCTAGCTGTTCCTTCACCATCCACTTCAATAGGACAATACTTACATTTTTGCTTTGCAAGTTCTTGTCTTAGATCTTCATATACTTGTGAAAAGAGGTCCTCTTCAGATTTTGTTCCATCTAGGTAAACTGGAAAGAAAAAAGGGAGCAATTCAAATGCTAACAGTCTTATTATTATAGATTGCTTAATTTGGCACCTGATATCTCTTGAAAATAAGTATGTTTAACCAAATAACCCAGGACCATAAAGTAAAAAGAAATCAATAACCATTAAAGAGAGAAATAGATTATAGCCAGGAATAACAGGGAAAAAAAGTTGGTTAATTACAGAGAAATGTGCATTAGCTGATGTGAACGTTATTTAAAAAAAAAAAAAGAAAGAAAAAGAATTAAGTGGCATTGTGAATATGTCACTTTAGGGGGACTGAAGAGGTGCTTCCTTGAAAGAATTATTTAAGGGAGTAGTTCTCCAACTTACTTATGCAACAAGATTACCTGTGAAGCCTCTTAAATCATGTAGGGGTCTGGGCTTCACCAAATGTGTACCACATCAGAATTCTCCAGGCCCAAAAGATATGGATTTTTAATAAAAGTGCCATAGTCAGTTTTGGAGAAAGTCAAAGTTATGTGTATTGAAGGAAAAGGCCTTCCAGTTAGAAAACTGCCTAAGTAGGGAGGTGGGAGAGAATTTTGCCTGTTAAGAAAAAGACGCACAGTTTGGAAAAGACGTGGGGAGGCAGAAACAGTGGAGAGATGAGGTTTTAGGGCAAGGCTGTGCCTTTGTCTTTGATGTCTGCCTGGGTAGGTGTTAACTGAGGCGGGAGACTCTTTGAAGGTATTAAGCAAGGCAGGGGCATAGATTAGTATTTTAGATGGAGAGGGAGAGAGGAATAGTAAGAAGAGGACGCCTCCAGAGCCATGGTCCACACTGGAAGTGTTGTGGCTTGAACCTCAGCAGCAGCTCTGGGGATAGGGAGAAGGGTTTGAACTTGACCAAAGAAGAGATTGTAATGGCTGCTAGACCATGGGGAGGCCCCATGTGCTTTCTGCATGGTTCTGATATAGCCACTCAGAGTCCATGAAGCTTCTCACAATATGGGAAACTCGCTTTATTCTTTTCAGAATTGAATATATATCAGTTCTGATTTTTTTGGCCAACCAACAGCCTTCTCTCTCTGCCTCCTGTAGTTTCTTTGTGTTGAGCTCTATCTCAGCAGTCTGCTCTGAGCTGGGGCTCACAGATTGAATGGGGGAACTCAAGAGCTGGAAAATTTTGGTTTTAAGTAATAGTTAATAATCTTTGTAGTTACTGCATATAAGAAGCTATTGTTTCAGGAACTGTAGGTATGGTCCATCCTAACTCCAAGAGACTGTAAACAATTCAACCTTTGTGCTCCAAAGGGTATACAAGCAATCAAGATGGTATCTGAGCCAGTGTACTCCAGGGAGAGACATCTCTGCAGCCCATGACACGGATAAAGAATCACCAGTCAGCTCTGGCTGGCGTAGCTCAGTGGATTGAGCACGGGCTGCAAATCAAAGTGTTGCAGGTTCGATTCCTAGCCAGGGTACATGCCTGGGTTGCAGGCCATGGCCCCCAGCAACCGCACATTGATGTTTCTCTCTCTCTCTCTCTCCTTTCCCTCTCTAAAAATAAATAAATAAAATCTTAAAAAAAAAAGAAAAAAAAGAATCACCAGTCAACGAGATGAAAGGGTGTTAGGAAAATTGCCAGACCACAGCTTTTATCTGATTAACCTTTTCCCTGAATTCCAAATCCTTTACCTACACTTTTTTCCTCCTTATAAAAAGGCTGGCTTGAAAGGAAATGTAAGATGGTCTGCTAGGACACCTAACAAACTGCCGTCTCAAATTGCTGGCCATCTGAATAAAGCACACACAAAAATTCAATCCCTGTCTATGCTTATAGGTTCTGGTGGTGAGAAGCAGCACAAACACTGGCTTTTCCAGTTTCAGAGCCAGATGCTTACTCCCAAATCGCTGCTTTATGTCTTTCAAGCATCTCAACAACATTATGTGCAAAACAGACTTGCATTCTTGGCTTACAAACCTGCAACTCCTTCACTTTCCTCTGTTTTCCAAAATAGTACCTGCCAGGTTCCAAGGTGTTTGTCCTTGATATCTCAGTTTCCCACACCCTCCTATCTACACTGTCATTAGTTCGATTGAGCACATATGTCCAATATCACACCCTCTACATCCGCCTTCCACATAGCCAGAGGGATCTTACTAAAACAAGCACCTGGTATCTATCTATCACATCCTTGTTTGAACTTCTTTGTAGAGGTCTTCCCACTTTTCTTGGGATAATGGCACAGTCCTTAACTGGCCTATGGCCTTATAGGGTTTGGATCTTTCCTGTATTAACAGCAGCACCTCTTGTCCTTGGTTTTTCTCTATGACAAATACACCAACATTCTTTCAGGTGCTCATCTTTTCATGTACCATACCCACTGTCTGGGGTGATCTTCCACCCCAACCCTTGTCCCTTGGTCTAGTTACACTTGTCAGCATGGTATAAATGTGGCTGGATCACTGAGACTTAGGCAGTCCCCCCAAGAGCTTGCTGTCACAGCACTCAGCACACTAGAAAGGACATGCTCATGTAGCTACTGTGTTTAACGTCTACTTCCCTAATAGAATGTTGGCGCATAAGAGTAGGGAATGGATCTGTCTTCTTGCCCTTGATATGTATCACCAGGGCAGCACCTACACACAGAAAACACTCATCAACATTTATTGAATAAATGACCATCTAAACACCGACAAGTCATCGATGAGAGCCACAGAGAGCGCAGCAGAAGTTAGGAGAGCCAGTTGTGGAAGATGGGGAGCCCAGAGTGTCACAGCTTAAAGTGTTCCTTTACAATGTAATACATGAGAAACATGCCTTGTGAAGTCCTTTCTTTTTGTGTACTTTGAGGCAATGACAAGTAAAAGGCCTTCTGTTGAGGGGGAATGGGCACTCACCAATTTCCCATGTGATGCCCTCCATTTCCTGTCTGTGCTTCAGATACATGGGCCACACATGGCCATCAAAGTATCCTGGCGGGTCTGGAGGCTGGTAGACCCTTGTACTATCAAAACATGTAGGAAATTTTATGTTGATAGAAACATACATAGATACAGTATAATAAAGGTCAAGATAATGGGAAAATCACAAGAGACTGAATCTAAACAGGATTAAGATAAGACATTTTAGACTTTCAGACTCAATGTCAGTTACAAAGACAATGAAATGGACTTAGTTCACTCACCCAAAAATTAGTCTTCTAAAAACATTACTTTTAAATCACTATCATTCAATCATTTCCCCCCTCTAGTTTTTTATGAAACAATTAAGAGACAACTATCAGTGTAAATAGTGATAGAAATACTGATATGTTGGATTAAGCATTATACTAATTGGTGTTCTTCGAGGCTAGCAGAATATAGGCCAACTAACTTAAAATCATAATCAACATGGAATTCTTTCATTTGAAGACTTAGGAGAAAAGAGCTAAATGACTCTTATAAGGGTGTTTTTTAGAAACCTAATTTGTGTTACTCCATGTGGATGATTATTTATGGAAAAAGGTTTTGCTCATTGTGTAAGAGTTGAGGCTTCCCCTGTTTGAAAAATGGCATACACATTTCTCAATAATGATCCTTTTCTTGTTTTTAGTAAATTTTGTCTTTTGAATCACAATCTACAAAGGCAATTTCAAAATTTACCTCCTCCTCCTCTTACATTCTTCGTATGGAATGGTCAGAAAGTAGCTTCTATTCCACATAGTGTCAAGGGGCCTAAAACAACAGCATTATTTAGCTCACGAGGTTTTTTCTCCATTCACTCGGAGTCAATATTTGAGTGAGGATGCTTACTTATAATTAAACAGAAGGAAACCCTCGATGATTAATATGGGAACTTCCTCAGTGCTTCTCCAGTCTGTTGATCCCTGTGGGTGTCTCGAGCTTTCCAGCGAGCAAGAAATGGTGGACATCATTTTTTCCATGTTAAGTGCTTCAAGCACTTCAAACAACATACAAAAATATGAAATTAGTATGATAAAATTCTATGATACAGTTTTTTATAATGACTATATCATGGGCTCTATAAGTATATAAAATAACAAATGTTTTTTACCCTCCAAAAAATCTAATAACAAATCTTTTAGATACTTTTAAACTCTAATATTGAGAAATTAGTATGTTTGAAATACTTTTATTATGGAAAATTTGAAACATATACAAAAGTAGAGAATAAAGTACAATGAACACTATGTCCCCATTGGCAGCTTTGACAACATAACAATGGGGACATAAACTCATGTCCCCATTGGCAGCTTTGACAACATAGATACATTGCTTTATTTAAAGCTTCTATTACCCTCTGACTATATAAATCTTAACATTTTTGAATGACAAAATATTGATAAATTAGTTTGAAAGATATATGACACACTGAGGAAAATATCTGCAATGTATTTGGTAAAGACCTCATATTTTTATTTAAAAAAATATTTTATTTATTTATTTTTTAGAGAGAGGGGAAGGCTGGACGAAGGAGAGGGAGGGGAACATCAATGTGTGGTTGCTTCTCACATGTCCCCTACTGGAGACTGGCCCAAAACCCAGACATGTGCCCTGACTGGGAATTTAACCAGCAACCCTTGGGTTCGCAGGCCTGTGAACCATGAGCCATACCAGCCAGGGCTCATATTTTTAATATATAAAGAACTCTTATAGGTAAATAAGAATAAATCATTTAAATTTTTTCAAAGAACAGATGTCCTTTTCAACCTCTAAAATGTGCATACTTTTTGAGCTTACAATTATAACTCTATAAAAGTAACTATGAAAGTGATTCTCAAAGTGTGGTATCCAGACCAGCACCATCAGCAGCACCTGGGGACTTAACTAGGGATGCGCATTCTGAGTTTCACTCCAGAAGTACTGAAATGAGTCATCTGTGCTTACAGAGGTTTTAGTTAAATAAATTATGGATTAACTTATTTAATAGATATAGGGCTACTAGGATTTTCACTTTGCTCTGGTGTTAGTCTTGGCAAGTTTTATTTTTCTGGGAAATTGTCATTTTCATTTAAGTTTTCTAGTTTATTTGTATAAATTGTTTATAGTACCCTCATCTTTTTAGTGCCTCTAGGATCTGTAATGCTACTATATTTTTTTCTTGATCAGTGTTGTGTCACCTGTTTGGGGATCACTCAGATTCTTGCATATGTAGATTTATGTCCTATGCCAAATTTGAGATGTTTTACACCATTGCTTCTTTAAATACTTTTTCAGCACCACATTCTCCTCTTCTTCTGAGACTCCAATGATATGCTAGATATTTTGTTATTGTCCTGTATTTCTGTTCATTTCTTTTTCATCTATTTCTTTCTGTTGTTCAGATTGAGTAACTTCTATTATTTTGTCTTGTAGCTCACTGATTCTTTCCTTTATCATATTTATTCCATTGAATTCATGCAGTGAATTTTAAAATTTCAGTTATTGTTTGTTTCCAGTTCCAAAATTTCTACTTGGGTAATCAAAATGGCCTGGTATTGCCATAAACACAAACACACAGATTAATGGAACAGAACAGAGAGCCAGAAATAAACCCACACCTTTATAGTCAATTAACATTCTACAGAGGAAGCAAGCACACACAATGGGCTAAAGATAGTTTATTCAATAAATGGTGTTGGGACAATTGGACAGACACATGCAGAAAAAATGAAACTAGACCACCTTCTTATAGCACAAACAAGAATAAATTCAAAGTGGATCAAAGACTTAAATGTTAGACCCAAAACCATAAAAATCCTAGAATAGAAACATAGGCAGCATAATCTCAGGTACTGCTTGAGAAAACTTTTTAACCGATATATTTCCCCAGGCAAAGGAAACAAAAGAAAAAATAAACAAATGAGACTATATCAAACTAAAAAGTTTTTTCACAGCAAAGGCAATCATCAACAAAATAAAAAGACAACCCACAGAATGGGAAGATATATTCACTGATATATCTGATAAGGAGTTAATATACAAAATTCATAAAGTACTTACAAAACGCAACACCAAACAAACTACCCAATTAAAAGATGGGCAAAGGGCCTGAACAGACACTTCTCCAAAGAGGACATATGGATGGGAAATAGACGTGTGAAGAGATACTCAGTGTCACTAATCATCAGAGAAATGCAAATTAAGACCACAATGAGATTCCATCTCACACCTGTCAGAATGGCCATCATCAATAATTCAATAAGCAAGTGCTGGTGAGGATATGGAGAAAGGGAAACCCTTTTGTACTGGTGGTGGGAATGCAGACTGGTGCAGCCACTGTGGAAAGCAGTATGGAGATACCTCAAAAGATTAAAAATGGATCTGCCTTTTAATTCAGCAATCCCATTTCTGGGAATATATCTGAAGGAACACGAACACACTAAATCAAAAGAACACAAGCACCCCCATGTTCACTGCAGCATTATATACAATTGCCAAGATATGGTAAAAGGCGAAAGACTTATACGATCTGAAGAGTATGACAACCAACCAAGATATGGAAGGAGCCTAAGTGTCCATCAGTAGATGAGTGTATAAAATAACTATGGGACATTTACGCAATGGAATACTAACTTGGCCATAAAAAGAAGTAAATTTTACTCTTTTGCGACAGTATGGATGAAGCTGGACAACATTACGCTAAGTAAAATAAGCCAGTCAGAGAAAGACAAATATCATATGATTTCACTCAAATATGGAATCTAATGAACAAACTGAACTAACAAGCAAACCAGAGACAGACTCATAGATGGAGAGCAGATGACAGCTAGTGGGGTGGGGAGAGGTTAGGGGGAGGTTGCCATAAGGGGAGTAAATGGTAATGGAGAAAAAATACAATAAAAATTAAATTAAAAAATAAAAAAAATTTTCTACTTGACAATTTTTTTACATCTTGCATTTCTTTCCTGAAGTGGTCTAATTTTTTACTTGACTGAAGAATATTCACAATTGCTCACTGAAGTCTTTTAATAAAACTGCGTGAAAATGCTTTGTCAGATAATTTTAACTTCTGTGTCATCACAAAGTTAGTGTCTGTTGATTGTCTTTTCTCACTCAAGTTGAGCCTTGCCTGGTTCCTGATAGGACAAATGACATTCAGTCTTGTCCTGGAAATTTTGGGCACTAGGTGTGGAGGATTTTAAGCCTATTTAATCTCCTTTTTTGTGGGTAGTTACCTGATTAGGTATAGTTTGACTGCAGGGGTGGGGGGTATGTTTAGCAACCTGCCTCACTGACACTGGATGGGGGTTATTGCCCTGCTGGGGAGAAAGGGAAAAGAAAGTGCTGGCGTGGCTTCACTGCTGCTCAGCGAAGGGTGGAAATTCAGCTCTCCACTGAGTTCTGCTGATGGTAGCTGACACTATCTGGGTGAGGAATGTGTGGAGTACCAACCAGCACCGCCTCACACTGCCTCATCCTGCTTCTTTGCTGCTAGGTGGGGGTAGCAGTCCAGTCCCTGTTTGGCTCCACTGATATGATCCCTATGCATGGCATGGAGGGCAACTCACCTCACCTTCCTGGTTTTGGTGGGTTCAGGAGTCTTGCTCCATATGTGGCCCTGCTACCATGAGGGAAGGATGGCTTTTTCTTTTTTGTTTGCCTTCAGTAGGGTGGATAAAATAGAAAGTGACAACATGATTTTCTATTCTGCTGGGCTACCCTTTTCTGGTCCTTTCATTAGGGAACAAGTTTCCTGGTCTTTTTTCGTGTTTTTGTCTACCTATTAACAACTCCATGTTGCACAATTCTCTGCACCCCCTCCTGAATGTATAAGAGGCAAAAAGAAAACTGTGACAACTCACAGCCATTTTATTCCTCAAGTACTCAAGACCCTAGTCAGTCTGCTCTCTTCTCTTCGTCTTTCAGTCTTCCCTTTGTTTTCTGTGTTCCATCCAGGACTTTTAGTTGTAAGAGGGAGGAGTAGCAAGGAATGGGGGCAATCCATTTGGGCTAAAACCAGAAATACCATTAGTTTTAATATATTTAACATAGTTTTAATATATTTGACTCAGTTAAAAATATTTTCTTATTTTCATTGTGATTTTTTTTTTCTTTAACCCATGGGACATGTGTTTTGCTTCAGATAAAATGTGACGATGTCTGGGATTTGCTTCAAAATAATATAGGAGAAAGTGAGTGAGGGTATAGATAAAATATAATTGGCCAAGAGTTTATTATTATAAAAGCTGAATGTTGAACTCATGAGAATTCATTATACCTTCCTGCCTACTTTTTCTTCTTTTTTTATTGTTGTTCAAGTACAATTATCTCCATTTTTTGCCCCACAACTCCCCCCCTTCTTTTGAATATGTTTACAATTTTCCATAAGAAAAAGTTTTTAAAATCAGGAAAAAAAGGTACTAATTATTTTTCAAACTCTTAGGACTTTTCTATTTCCTCTTTAGTTATCGATTTCTAATTCAGTTCTCTGTGATGTGGCATCCCTATTACTTGAATTGACTGAAAAGCATTAGGACTTGCTTCATGCCCTTGCATGGAACATTTGGTTAATGTTCCATGTGTTATTGAGAAAAAAACATGTATTCTGTTGTTGGTTGCGTGTTCTATATATGTCACTTTGGTCAAGTTTGTTAATTATATTGCTCAAATCTGTTATACCCTCATGATTTCTGCCTGCTTATTCCATTAGTTTTTCAGAAAGTTGTATTAAAATTTCCCACAATAATTACAGATGTATCTATTTCTCCTCTCAGTTTTCTCAGGTTTTGCTTAATGTATTTTGAAGTTATATTATTGGGTGCATACAAATTTTAGATTGTCTATCTTCCTGTTGAATTGATCTCTTTATCTCTAGTAATACTCTTTGCCTTAAAGTTTACTTTGATATTAATATAGTTACACCAGTTTTCTTTCAGTAGGTATTTGCATGATATACTATCTTTTTCTAGGTTTTTACCGACTACTTTTCTATGTCCTAATATTTAAATATAATATGTCTTTTATAAGAGACTGGTTGTTGGCTTAAAAAAAAATCCAGTCTGATAATATTTGGAATATTTTAGTTCATTTAACTTAATGTAGCTACTAATGTATTTGGTTTAAATCTATTAGCTTACTATCATTTTCTATTTTTTAAAAGACTGTATTCATTTATTTTTAGAGAGAGGGGAAGGGAAGAAGAAAGAGAGGGAGAGAAACATCAACGTGTGGTTGTCTCTTATACACCCCCTACTGGGGACCTGGCCCACAAGCCAGGCATGTGCCCTGACGGGGAATTGAACCAGTGACTTTTCGGTTCACAGGCTGGTGCCTAGTTCATTAAGCCATACTAGCCAGGGCTCATTTTCTACTTTTATACCATTCTTTGATTTTTTAAGATCTTTGTTTTTTACTTTTTTAACTTCTTACTTGGTATTTATCAATTATATTTTAGTGATTTCAGCTATTTATAAACTTGATAGCTAACATTTAAAAATTACTCCTTGGGGGTTATCATAAAGATTTGAACATTACCTTGACTTACTTTAAATTTGTACATTTACCTAAAAAGTTCAAATTTTTCCTTAAGATAGATTCTTGGAAATGGGCACTTGCACACACGGCATGAATATTTTAAGGTCTTTAGGACATATGCTCAATGTCTTTCCAGAGAGGCTGTACCAATTCATTATGCTCCCACTTGTGACAGTTTTTGTTTTATTGCGTCAGTGCTATCATTAGATAATTATCATTCCTTTAGAAATCTGTTTACTAGGTAAGTGGAGAAAAAAATAAACTACAATTCTTTGACAACTGTTGAGGTTGATCTTTTATTGCACATTATCAAATAAACTTTGGCTTCTGTGAATAGCTTATTCACATCCTTGGGCATTTTTTTTCAATTGGGATATTACTATTTTTCTCATCAGTTTCCAAGAACATTTAAATTAGGAATAATTCTTTATCAAATTTGAAAACAGTTTTTCCTTGTTTGACTCTTATTTTGTGATAATTTTCCTTATTAACCTTTAGAGGAGGGGAAGAGAAGAAAAAAATATCCAGGCTGCTTCTCAAGACACAAGAACGGACAGGACAGCAAGTCAAGGACTTTGCCTCTCTTAAAACTAGCATGTGTCTGTAAGGACTGACTATACAACATTTTTCTCCAAGGTTATCAAAGTTAAAAATAAAGAATACATTTTATGTCTCCTCAAGAGAACTCTATTGGTTGCTAATTTGAATACACTCTCAATAATCATTTTGTTAATTATGAAAGTTGATATTACCATTAAATATAGTTTATTAACATGATATGCTTTATAGCAAAATAAACTTTTTCTGATGAACTTTAATCCTTTGGTTTAAAAGCCATGTTACATTGGATAGAGGAGTGAGGTGCATCCATCTAAAAAATATTCACTACCCTTTTTGATCTATGAAAAAAAAAAACCAACAAACCCACTTCCCAGTACCACCTGGGTCTGTCTGGGAAGGAAAGCTCGGAAGATGAGTGCTTCAAGTTTGCTCCAGGTAAGACTCAGGGCTGGAAAGGTAAGTACAGTAGGTTATGTACTCCCCAGGCTGGGATGACTAGAGCACCAGGGAACACACCTTGCCCCAGCTTCAGAAGAAAAATCTGTATCATTTCAATGTTTTCAGTTTCAAATATAAAATCGGGGGAAAGATTTCATTTAAAAAAATAGCTGAACATAAATCAGAAACATTTACAAATGTAGGTTTAAAGTACTGTAATACATTTAAACACACTTTTGAGAATGTCTTTGCAGATAGCGAAGTATTTGGGTTTGCAAAAGAAATGAACTTTAGGGCATGTTTTTACAAGCTCATCTACTTACCATCATACTGCAGAAATCCATTTTCATCTGTCTCTATCTCTGACTCTGGCTAAAAAAATGATGAAGTACACATAAAAACTGTGCATTGCAGAAATAATACAATTGTAGAACGAAGAGGCAATAAACTAATAAATGCTTTAGACGATGAGAATAAATAAAATCAAAGTACCAATAGGGGTGCCACCTAGTGGATAAGTAACTCTACTGCATTGACTCTACCTTCACTACAAAACCTGTAACACTCAGCAAAGGCTTTTGGATGTAGTTCAATTAACTTTGCTGCTAGAATTTTTTTTTGGAGTTAAATAAATTATCTAAGAAATCTTATATATACCTTAAAGAAATCATCCTGAGATATGACACTGCAATTTGGAAAGTGTTTCTGCAAATTTTTAGCCAGTGTTGTCTTCCCACCATTTGTCACACTGAACGGAAAAAAAAAAAAAAAAAGAATTAAAAAAAATGGAACATACCAAGAAAGATACATTAAAAAAATAAAACATTTAACACAATATCTAATATGTAAGAAAAAATTATTTCTTTCAGAGATAATGTTTTTCTATTGGCAAAACCACAGGCATGAGTAGATCTGATGTAATAAATGATTAAGAAATAAGCTGGGAAGGATTGAGGAGAAAAGTAACTGACTATGGGGCAAGTGAATTAGGTAATACCAAGAAATACAGTTATTATGTTGGAAACAAAAGAATTTTTTGTCTGTGGTAAAACTTTCACAGGGTTCAAATGCAACATGGAACATGAGTATCACATTTTAATGCAAATACGTATATGAAACTGCATATGGTCATTGTGACTTTGTTTCAATGCACAGTGGAGCAATATGGAGGAGTGGCTCATTACAAGCCCCTCTACTATGAAGACATCACAGAGGAGATGATGTCTCCTTTCCCTCTAACCTCTTTCCACTTTGGGACTAGATGGGAGGTCCGTTTTAGCTTATCACACCTGTCAGGTGAGGTGGTTCCATATTTCACATGTCCAAAGCTGGGCATAACAGAAAAGAAATGATAGATTTTCTCCAATCTATCATGCTGGGGGAGCAGCCAGGTGGAGAATGAAACCATCCTGAACCAAAGCAGCATCTGACTGATCAGATGATAAAGGAGGAAAACTTTGCTTATTGATTTTCCTGTTTTTCTCTTTATAAGGACACTCTCCCACCTCCTAGTAGCATTTGGTAGCCAGTGCTCCACTGTTTTACATTCAATTGTGGCCTGCTTTTCCCAGGACTCAGGAATCCTCACTGCTTCTCCTTCCCCCTCCACGTCCACTCCACAGGAAAACACCTTTTGGACATCCTGAGTGTGTTGACCAGCTGATTGTAGCAAAACTACTCACCCACTGATTCCAATGACAAATGTTTTCATAATTAACTTTGACAATGTCTTCCTAGAATTTCCTAAAGTAAAAAAGAAAGTCAAATACTTATCATTTAGAAGTCTAAAGAGGTAAAAGAAAGAGTCCTAAATTAGCAGGAGCAGCCGAGGAGGAAAGATGGCTGTGATCTCTGGGTTACCCTACCCCTGGATTATCTACCTTCTGTGGGAGAGCTTCACATTGTATAGGCATACCTCAAGATAATATGGGCTCAGTTCTAGACCACCCTGGAATAAAGGAAGTTATGCTCTTTTTGTTGGAGGAGGGTCTTGTCTTCACTTTGTTTTAAAAAAAAAAAAAGCAACATCTGTGAAGTGCAATAAGATGAGGCATGCCTGTAGTGGTTTCTCTCTGTCACTCTCCTGCTAAGTGCCAACTGATGGTGCATGCTCAGGGCCTGTATGCCAAGTCAAGTGAACTGGAAAGGCCCCTGTGGCAAAACATTTATGCTTCAAGGTCTGTTTTCAAGGCTGTGGAAGAGTTGCTAGGCTGCACAGCTCACTAGAGTTTCACACTCCCCTTAGCCAGGTTGCCTTTTTATCCTCATGATTCAATCACTGGGAGATGGCTCCTACCCCCTTATGAAGTGAACCACATAGCTTCTCTCTCTCTCTTCCCCCTTCTGAAATGGGGAGACAATGCCCTTTCAGGGTACTATTTCCTCACCCAAAAGCCTAGGTCTAGGGCCAGGATAGACATTTTTTTTTCCAGATATGGGACAGGTAGTAAATATTAGAGACTACATTGTAGGCCAAGAGGCAAAATCTAGGTTATTATGGAAGTATTTATATGACAAGAGAGAAAACAAATTTCTACAGTTTTTTAGATTTAAGTCAAAACATAATAATAACTGAGTAAAATTGTTTTGGATAATACATGTCAACAAATGAGAAGAATAATATTCCTTTTCATTTGGTAACATTTCCCTTACTGGATTTGAAAGTGAATGCTCCCTCTCAGGAAATTGACGGCAAAGGTTCAGGAAGAGGGGCACGTTTTAGCCACAGGTCGGGCGGCTGTTGATTCCTGGTCTAGGGGTTGTTAGGGCAGTTTCATACATTGTCATCTAGGGTTCGCCACAGCAGTCCCTTCCAATGGGTCATTTTTACATTTGTAAGTGAGAAGGTGATGCTCACTGAGACCAATCTTAGAAAAGTTGCTCTTTATTCCTGACTCCGTTGGTTGGGTGATTGGGGCTTCGGATGTGCTGTCTGGGGTGAGGGGCCCCTGAGCTGGGGGCTCCCAGCAGCCCTCCCAATTTCCTTCTCTGACCTGTGTGCAGGTTTCTCCTGGGAAGAGGTGGCAGGGAAAAGAGCCTGGAGGAGAGAGGGCTGTTGTTCTTTGTTGTCTTCTCAGTTTATCCAGAATATTCCAAGTTGAGTTCAATTCTGCTTTCATTAAAAAGCCTATGTGAGACAAGAATTCAACAATGGCTATGCTTTAAAAAAAAATAACTGAACAAGCTGGTCGTTTGAGTTGCACCAGGGGTTGCACTGTTGAGTATCTATTCCACCCAAACTGAGTGGCATATCAAGGGAACAATTGCATAACATGAGTAATATAAATTTTTATACTGTCATTCTCGACATAAGAAATATCCAAACCTGTAGAGACTTTTCATGAGTTTATTTGAGCAAAACTGACAACAGTTGCTGAGAAGCAAAGTCTCACAGTTCAGAAAGTGTTCTGGAGAGTGGCAATTTTGCGGCTTATTTTAAGTGCTAGAATCAAAGGAGGAGACAGAAAGGGGTTTCATGAGATTCATTGGTGATAGATTAGGGAGGCAGGAGAAAGCAATGCAGGTAAATGTCTGAAATTGGATAAAGAGTAAAACAGAGACATACTTCTTTTCCATTGGTGGATACAGAATAGTTAATAATTACTATTTACAGCACACGGAGAGGTTATTTGGGGAACAAGATGACAATGAGGGGTTCTGCGGTCCGTAGACTCTGGTGTGAGGTTATACTGAGTGGCCCGGAAAAAGGGGGCTACTCTGACACTCCAAGGGTTTGTTATCTTAGATGCAAAAGGACAATAGACAGGTTCGCTTAAGGTAAAGATTGACCTTTGCCAAGGAAGTTACAGGCCCAGGACATGACTTCCCGCCAAGACTTGCTTTAGTTAGGAATTTTTATGTTCAGACCATCCTATGTGGTCACTTTCAGCCTCTGAGTTTGTAAGGCCATCATGCAGGCCTCCCTGGGCTTGTCAGGCTGTGTGTGTCTTTTTTGTCCTAACTTTTCTGCTTTTGAATTTAATTTTGCCCTATTCTTATTTATTAATATGGCATTGCAAGGCTGGCAACTATTCTTTTTTTGGGACAAGAAAGAGTGCCCTTTATCCTGAGATGGTACCTTTCTTACATTTTTGATAATAAATGTTCTTTTTCTTATGAAATTATGTTGGCAGTAAATAGTAGTAGATTGATGTCCTCACTTGGCAAAAAAACCCCAAAATGAAACATAAAGCTTTGTCATTCTTTGCCCCCACCTCACACATTTTTGGATAGTCAAAGCATTAAACTCTCAAAACTAGAGAAGTATGATCTTAGAATTCACCTAGTTTCCACCTTCATTTTGCAGAGGTTGAAACTGGCCCAGAAAATGGATGACTTGCCTAAGGTCACACAGCTAGTAAGTTTTGGAAAAGTGAGAAGCAAAACTAGGCCAAGACGTTAACTTCTTTCCCCTTTCTAAGCTGCTGCAAAGAATTTTATTACCAAGAGCAAAGAAAGGATGGTGCTCAATAGATGAGTTGATTAAAAACCTGTAGTATAAAGACTTCTGGTCAAGATGGCAGTGTAGGTAAACAGGGCTCACCTCCCTGCACACTCAAATCAAAATTCCAACTAAATTATAGAACAACTATCACTTAGAACCAGCAGAAATTGAGTTGAACGGAAGTGTGACAACTACAGAGTTAAAGAAACCACATCCACCCACACTGGTAGGAGGGGTGGAGACATGGAACAGGCTGGCCCCACCTACACGTGTGGCGGATAAAAATCCCAAGGGATATCTTGGGATCAAGGAGTCCCAGCTCCATACCTGGACCCCGACCCAGGGTTCCAGTGCCAGGAAGATAAGTCCCCACAGCTTCTGGCTGCAAAAACCAGTGAGGATTGAGTCAGTGGAAGAAACTTCTGGAGTGCCAGGTAGTTCTTAAAGAACCCACACATGGACTCACCTACTCAGACTCACTCCCTCACCAGGGTAGCAGCTTGAAAGGTACCAGTGGCATACAGGGAGGGGCTGAGTGACTGGCATCTAGGCAAGTGCTGGGGTACAGGTTTCTCCCAGACAGACAGGCAGCTAGAGCCACCGAGCCTGCAGGCACATGTCATATCTGAGACTCCATCAACCTGACTAACACTACCCAACCCAACAGATCTCCAGTCCCCATCCCACCCAATTTATAGCCGTTAACAGTAGTTTTTCTATATGAATGGTTGGTCTTGGCTCAAGCTTCACATTTCCTAAATCCTTTCAAACAAGCAACAGCTGACCTCAGCGAGCCTCCAGCCCTGGTACCTCTTGCTAAGTGGCCCCAGACACAGCACTAGCAGCAGCCAGCCTAGATTCACAACTTGGCTTCATCTGGGAATCTCCAAGCCCAGCATAGCAGCAGCCATCTCATATTTCTCTATAGCTCAGGCAGGGTGGCCCTGGGCAAAACACAGGTTGGGGCTGACCTTGGCCTGTACAACCCTAGGAACCTTAGGGCCTGGGCACCCAGTGTACAGCTACAGATCATGTTGGAGTACCACCACCCTGCCACTGCACAGCTGATCCTCCACGAAGAGTAGAGGCTGGTGGTGAGTGGTCACAGCCAATCTTTGCAGCTGATGGGCATAGGTAAATTCCTCCCATTGACCTGCCAATAGTAGCCAAGGCTCAAGTACAAGAGGAGGGTGTACTCCACCCACACAAAGGCCCACCTCAAGTACCTGGCTTGTGTATAGGGAAGGCTGTGCCACTGGGCCCTGTAGGACATCTATATTAGGCCATGATACCAAGACAGGGAGTCATAGCACTTCTACCTAATTCTACATAGAAACAAGCACAGGCAGGCTGCCAAAATGAGGAGACAAAGAAACATGGCCCAAATGAAAGAACAGATCAGAACTCCAGAAAAAGCTAAATGAGATGGAGATAAACAATCTATCAGATGCAGAGTTCAAAACACTGGTTGTAAGAATACTCAAGGAAAAGCCCTGGCTGGTGTAGCTCAGTGGGTTGAGTGCGGGCTGCAAACCAAAGTGTTGCAGGTTCGATTCCCAGTCAGGGTACATGCCTGGGTTGCAGGCCATGACCCCCAGCAACCGCACATTGATGTTTCTCTCTCTCTCTCTCTCCCTCCCTTCTCTCTCTAAAAATAAATAAATAAAATCTTTTTTAAAAAAAGAATACTCAAGGAAAATGTTAAAAGTATAAAAAAAAAAAAGAGTACTCAAGGAACTTAGTGAGGACCTTAACAGCATGAAACAGATCCAGTCAGAAACTAAGGATTCACTAACTGAAATAAAGAATAATGTACAGGGAAACAACAGTAGAATGTATAAAGCCAAGGATCAAATCAATGATTCGGAACATAAGGAAGCAAAAAAACAACCATTCAGAACAACAAGAAAAAAAAAAGAATCAAAAAAAATGAGGACAGTATAAGCAGCCTCTGGGACAACATCAAGAAGTCCAACATTCACATCATAGGAGTGCCAGAAAGAGAAGAGAAAAAGCAAGGGACTGGAAATCTATTTACAAAAATAATGAAAGAAAACTTCCTTAATTTGGTGAAGGAAATAGACATGCAAGACCAGGAAGCACGCAGAGTCCCAAACAAGATAGACACAAAGAAGCCCACTCCAAGACATATCATAATTAAGATGCCAAAGGTGAAAGATAAAGAAAGAATCTTAAAAGCAGCAAGAAAAAAGCAGATGATTATCTGTAAAGGAGTTCCCATAAGACTGTCAGCTGATTTCTCAAAAGAAACTTTGTAGGCTAGAAGGGACTGGCAAGAAATATTCAAAGTCATGAAAAGCAGAGACCTACAGTCAAGATTGCTCTTCCCAGCAAAGATATCGATGTGGTGGGGCTCTGCCCACAGAGCCCCCGATCTGCCACGGATGAGAATTAGTCTACCAAGACATGATCTGCTTGGGGAGGAAAGGTGGCTGATCTCTTGAAGGAGAAGGACCAAGAGCCTTTTCCTCAGTGGCTTTTATCGGGTTCATTTACACAAGAATTCAGGTAAAGCTCATTACTCATTGTCGGGAAGTAAGGATCAAATAACAAGGAATTCTGAGGGTCTATTTTGAGTCAGGGTCAGATAGCTAAAGAGCTGTAAAAAACTTTAAGGAACAAACTTAGTTCTTCATTGGACCCTTATCATTTAGTTGAGAGCATTCTAAATAAAGCAGGTTTCATAGGATTTTACATATTCTTTCTTAGGATCACTGGGGAACCCGCCCTTTCCAGCACAGGGCTGTACCACCCTCTGTCATTGTTTCAGGCTTAGGTGGAGCAAGGGAACTAAGGCAGCCAAGAGATTAGGAGATTTTCTCACAGACAATGAGGACTCAGGCTATGTCAAAGCCAAGGGGCGAGGGTCCATCACCCCCTTTTGCTGTAGCCCCCAAAGTCCTTCCTTGGAAGCCTCCCATGTGATCGTGCCTGTCTTAAATCGTTCCCCCCTTGGGGAATCTTACCCATCATTGGCTAACCGACCAAGCATTGGGGGCCAGGCAGGGTGAAGTAAAAGGAGCAGAAGCGGTGCTCCTGCCCAGGGAGATAAGCTTTTGTCTCCTTGGTGGCTTATGGTCCAAGGTCAATCCCTCAGCCTTAGCCTTGACAGAGGTTACAGCTTCTGATACCAGGCAGGGCAGTTCCCAACATATCATTTAGAATCAAAGGGCAGAAAAAGCTTTCCAGATAAGAAAAAAATGAAAGGAGTTCATCATCACCTAACCATTATTATATGAAATGGTAAAGAGATTTAAGATAAAAAATCTGAACAATAAAATGGCAACAAATACATATCTGTCAACAACTGAATCTAAAAAACAAACTAAGCAAATAAGAAGAACAGAGACAGAATCATGGATACAGAGGGCATTTTGATGGCTGCCAGATGGGAGTGGGGTTTGGGGAATGGATGAAGAGGTGAGAAATTAAGAAGTACAAATAGATAGTTACAGAATAGCCATGGGGATGTAAAGTACAGTGTAGGAAATGGAGCAGCCAAAGAACCTATATGCATGACCCATGGACATGAGTGATGGTGGGGGGACTGCCTGAGGGATAGTGGGTGCTGGGTGGAGGGGGGCAAAGGGAGAAAAATTGGGACATTTACACAATGGAATTCTATTCAGCCATAAAAAAGGAAGAAAATTTTACCCTTTGAAACAGCATGGATGGACCTGGAGAACAATATGCGAAGTGAAATAAGCCAGTCAGAAAAAGACCAGTACCATATGATTTTACTCATGTGTAATCTAACGAACAAAACAACAAACGAACAAAATAGAAACTGATCCATAGATAAAGAAAACAGGCTGACAGCTGTTAGAAGGGAGAGGAGTTAGGGGACTGGGTGAAAAGGTGAAGGGATTAAGCAACAAAACCACACAAACAAAACAAAACTCATAGACACAGACAACAGTGTGGTGATTACCAGAGGGGAAGGCAGTTAGGGGGCGGTAGAAGAGGGTAAGGGGCAATAAATGGTGATGGAAATAGACAACTTTGGATGATAAACATACAATACAATATACATATGATTATTATAGAATTGTACACCGGAAACCTATATAATTTTAGTAAACATCACCCCAATAAATGCAATAAAATTTTCTTTTTAATGGTGCACATGTGCTGGTTTGTGAGGCTTTCATGTATAATTAATGTCCTTTATATTGATGCATTATTGATGGGTATATAGTTGCTGTGCACATGAAATGGCAAGGAATATTGGTCCCCTGTGCTTCTTGCCACATCTGTGCATAAACACAAGGATATTCTATCAATTATATAACATGTAAATAACAGGTAAGCATGATTGTGGCCCTGGAAAATAGGCTGAAGAGGATTATCTTGGTGGAAACTCTAGCAATGCAGAAACAAAGCATGAGGGAGAATCAAGAATCTACTATTATAAAATCTCTTGGCCTAGGAGGGAATTCCCCCAGTCAAGTACAAGTTCTTACCAAAACATGAACCCCCAGTTCTATATTAGTTAGCAGTCTTAGCCTGTAGAAGACAGTGTTTGGGTCCACATTAGGTACAGTCCTTTAGCAATGAATGGATGACAATGCGGCGGGAAGGGTGGGGAAATGGAAGAAGCAGAAGCAAGACCTGTGGCTGCGATGAGTAGCTGGGGAGGGAGTGGGTATAGCAATCCTAGAAGCAATTTATTTCAAAAACAGTGTTGGATGCAGGGGGCAGCTTCAGGTGAATTCTAAGTTTAGGCCCAGCATCTGTCCACTTCAACACCATGCTCTGTTATTTCACTGCCTGTTGCCCTCTTTAAGAAGCATTTTAAAATCACACTGAAAAAGCTTTCAATCAAGAGTTGCCAGTCTCTAAATATGTATATGCAGCAGCAGGCTCAATGAAACAAACACACATTTAATCAACTGCATACTGTTAATCACTGAATGTCTCCAGAAAGAAACCATCTGGACTTTCCAGCCTCATCAGTGCAGGACATCTGATTACTAGGAATATAAAACACCCCCAAATTCATGGGATATTTATGTACTTATTCTCCCAATAAACATAAAGCTTTCCTCAACAGCACAGAGTATTTGCATAGGGGTAGGAGAACTAAGATATCCAAGAGCAAATCCTTATGAAGTAATTTTAATTATTTTTAATACTTTTTTTACCCTAAGTAAAATATGTTGAGTCTTTTCATAGTTAGTGTTTATTATATTTCATTTATTTCACTACTAAATCTGGTACGTTTTGGATTCCAAACTGCAAAAAGGTCAGAGGTGGCATGTGCAGAATCAGCAGATTGTCAGGATACAGCAACTCCCTAATACAAAGGGCCTGAAAAGCGGGTGACAACATGCTAACGAAGGGTTCTCCTTTTCTATGTGCTGAAAGAGCAGTTTGATATTTTTAAAAGAGTGAAATGTTTTCAGGACTTCTTACTCATTTATTTTATTTTATAGATATTTTGATTAATTTTTTCCACGCAGCTGGTAAGTCATTTCCTAGTATTGTTTAAACTTTTCTTCCTTTTGGTAAACAGAACTCTCCCAAGGCTGAAGTTTCTGAATATGCAAACCATTCCCCTTTCCCCTAACACTTGATCTTTCAATAACCCCTAGCAGTAATTTCAAAGCTTTATTTTACATAGGCTCCCATGTAGAAAGTTTTTTTTTTTTTTAATTTTTCTTCCGGCAAACAGCATAGTATTTATAATATTGGCTGTGTTATACAACTTACGAACGCTGTATTTCTTGTGTACCCCAGCCCTTGCCTCCCATTGGCGATTGAACCTGCAGGGTTACCGGTGGGCAAACTTCTGTAAACTGCCAGATAGAAAATGTTTCCGACTTTGCGGGCAGCTGTTGTGAGGTGAAAGCGACCACACGCAATAAATAAGCAAATGAGGGTGGCTGTGTTCCAATAAAACTTTATAAACACTGAAATGTGAATACCTTTTACGTGTCACAAAACATTCTTTTGATTTCTTTTCAGCCATATAAAAATGCAAAAACCATTTATGATTAGCAGGCGGGCCGTCTGGTTAGTCAGTCAACCCCAATGCTAGAGGAATAAAAGACCTCCTTCCGTGGGGATCAAGACCTGACCCTGTCCCCGGCGACTTCCCCAGAACCTGTAAGGTCTCTGGGAGGCAGACTCCCATTTTAAGGATAACTGCGGGGTGTTAAAGCACTAAACCACCACGAGTACCCTTGGCAGGCCGTGTGTCAGCCTATTTAGGGTGGTAAGAGCCCCAATGCGGCTCGCAAGACGCAACCAGGCTTCGTGCTGCAGGGCAGGAACAGTCTGAAAACACTTCTAGGCCCAACACAGAGAGGCTGCGTGGCGCTGTTGAGTCAGGCAGGTACTCACCCGACGCCAGTTCTAGTTCTCCCAAGCAAAGCGGCAGAGGCGATGGCCCAGCGCGCGTTTTTCACTAACCTTCCGCAACCCCACAGCTCGCTAACCGAGCGGCCCACAGTCCCAGTCCCCGCGCCCCTTCCAGGTCAGAGGCGGCCTAGGTAGTGCTCTGAAACCTAGGGATCACGGCCACCCAGATTCGCAGTTGGGAGGGGCCGGACTCTAGCGGGCAGTGCTCTGAGAACGCCCCGGCACTGTCCACTCCTTTTTCGTCGGGGGCGCGCGCGGCCGAGCGGGCCCCCCACGAGCCTGCAGCTCCCAGGCTTGACTACCGCTAGTTCGGCCGCCGCGCGCGCCACCGCGCGCGCTGCAGGCGCTCTCGCCGCCTGCGCCGCAGCTGCCAGCCAAGGAGCCAATTAGCACTCGGCGAGGCTGCGGCCACTTCCTCGTCCTCCCTAGCGAGCTCTCGGGAGGGCTCGGCGGCCGCGGGGCGGGGCTGGGCGGGGACTGCGCTTGCCTCTCCGCCTGCGTCCGCTGGTCGGAGCGAAGGGTGGGCGCAGGTCCTTGAAGGCGCGCCACTTGCAGACCTGACAAAAAGGAACTTTGGGACACCGGGAGTGTCGGCTGGCGGGGCGTTCGGTTGGCTTTTCGTTTGTGGTGTTTAGTATCAGCTGCACCAGGAAGCGAGATGTCGAAGCCGCCACCCAAACCGGTCAAACCAGGTAAGGAAGGTGCTTGTTGAGTCCCCTGACCGCCTCGGTGCCCTGCGCTTCCTCTGCCACTTGGCAGGGCAGACCTGGCACGAACCGGCCCCGAGCCTCGCTTTTGAGATCCAACCCACCGGGATGGGAGTTGTTAGCTTTGTTGCGTTCTCTGAAGGGGAGGGATCGGTTTGGATAGCAAGAGGATTTCGAGGATTTTTAAAAAGCTTATTTTTAAAGAGGAGTCGCTCTCGGTTTTCAACGTTGACATTCGCCAACTTTCAGGCTGGTGTAATGGCTACGTCCCATTGAAGCTTTCCTGGTAGACAGGGACATTGATCTCTCTTAAAAAAATTAAATAAATATCTTGAAATGGTCTTGTGGCCACTTCCCTTTTATTTTTTCTTCAGTGTGTGTCACTGTCAAGTTAGAGTTCAGACCGGCCAGAGCGAACGGGAAGTGCGCTGCTTGCAGGGTGGGGTGGGTGAGCGAGTCTCCTTTGGGACTTTTGAGAAGAACAGTGTTTGGAATTGACTTCGGGATCTTGGGAAAAACATTTAGAAGACTCTGTACTCGGGTTGATGGCGGGAACAATCTAAGCTGCGGCAATCTCAGCTATTACTATTCGGAAGTGTCACTTTATCATGCAGTACAAGTCCTGTGCCTCCGCTCTCCCAGTGAATTTGGCCTGCTAAACGGGGAAGGGCGAGATAACTAAGTTCCTCAAAGTCGTTCTCTTGGCCGATAGTCCTGGTTTATTTTTGTCTCTATTCTTAGAATATTTTCTGCCATAGTGAGAAAAGACATTTTAAAAGGAACTGATGTATTTTAGCTCAATACTGTATAACAAGCTCCTACATTCATTTGGTAGGTAATTACAGGAAACATAAGAAATGGAAAATAAATAGCTCTTGACAAACTGTCAGGTTTTTTTCTCTAAATCTCATGTAACTTTATTGTAGCACAGGCTGAAATTTATCCATTTACATTACATTTCAAAGTAACCTGGGTCACAAGGCATAGAGTTTCAGTGATTAATTCCTTTTCATTATTTTTCTAAACCTTAGTCAAGCAATACGACTTGCATGATTATTCATTTTTTTCTTTGCCCTCATACATTGCTAGTTTCAAGTCATTTTATTTGAAAATTATGTACATACTCACATATATGAAATAGTGATCCAGTGAAGGCTTAAATTTTGGTGGGCTGGTGCAGAGGGACCTTGGCTCTTCTCTGAGCAAAGATGGGGCTTGACTAGAATTCTGGCCCTGTAGTGCTTTAGATGTGGAATCTGAAGAGGAATTTGCATTTTAAGTAAATACGTAGGAGGTGGCAGATTTCTAAACTCAGATGTAAATCAAGACCTCAAGCATCCAACAAAGCAGAGTTGTCCTTTTATAGCTAAACAAAGTACTGTACTTTATGTTAAAGAATGTCCTGAGAAGCTATTCATAAGGTTTTCCCTCTCTCTAGACATTGTATGTCTTTGTTGTAGCTGGAGGGACATCCACAGCTATGTGTATGTGTGTGTGCACAAGTGTGTACATAAATACTAATGCATAAACAGGTGTGGTTTAGGAATCATAGCGTTAACAGTTGGAATAAACTCCCCGGAACCATTTTTATTGTCTAACACTACTGCTTTTTCCTCTGGTTAGCAAACCAGAATGCAAATGGTTGCAAATGACTGCTGTTTAGAGAAAGCTTGAACTCCACACTCATTTATAAATGACATCCAAACTCAAATAAGGGCATCATTGAAATTGGTCTGTTAGTTTCTAATGTACAGTAAGAAATATTACTTTCAATCAGACTTGAAACTTTGTGTGGCCTGGCTTAATTGAAAACAGAACTGTCCTGTTATAGTACTGGCCCACATTTACTGTGTGCCAGGCACTGATCTAATCACCTTGAATGTTTTAACTCGTTTACTCCTTACAACAACCCTATGAGCTAAGTACCATTATTGTTTCCATTGCACAGTTGGGGAATGAAGGCAAATCACAGAAAGATTAAGTAACTTGCTCAAGGTCAGTAGCTGGATGAGGAGCAGCAAGCAGGATTAGAACCAGGTAGTCTGACTCCAGTGTCTGGGCTCTTAACTGTAATGCTATTCTGCCTTATAAGTGCACCATTCATAGAATGGTCATGTGTATTTTAGCATTTGTGGCCAGGAAATGGAAAGGAAAGTGCCTCTGGTACTCCATCAGACTTTCTTGTCGCAAAAGCACATGAAAGTCATTCCCCTGGTTGGTAGCAGCAAGGAGAGGTGCTCAGCTTTAACTCTCTTGTCCTGCAGGTAAGCTAAATGGGTGAAAATATCTGAAGCTAACTTGGACTTGGGGACGGGGAGGTGATTTAATTTTTGGTTTCTTGATTTGTTTATACTCTACCTCACCCCATATGAGACTGAAAAAGAGAGAGAGAGAGCAGGGAGGGGAGAGCAGTAAGAGGAAACCAGTGGAAAAGTTAACTTTCAGATCCTGCAGCTTTTCAGATCCTGTAGATTTGGCTGTCAGCTCCAAGCAGAGAGGTAAGAGATCATTTGCAAGATTCCTAGTATTCATAAAATTAAAATGTATCACTTGCTCTGAGAGGAGTTGCTTTAATGGCACTGAGATCTGAGATGAACTCCGCCCCATGGTTCTCTTAGAGTGTTGGGGTGGACTGGACATCTCTACGAGACACACAAGGTGGTCCCTATTGCTTCCTGCAAAGCAAGACCCTGTCAGAACAGCATGGCCCAGTTCATGGGCAGTGCTGAAGGAAGGGCAGCTAGGCAAGGGAGGGAATTGGAAGGCTTTAGTAGCAAGGAGCATTAAGCTATAATGTGGGCTAAGGTATTGGGTTGGCCAAAAGTTCATTCTGTTTTTAAGTTATAATAAAAGACACATGTTTTCACTTTCACCAATAACTTTATTGAACAACATATTCACTGTTTTGTTCCACTACCTTCTGCCATCTTTCAGGCAACTTCACAATTCTATCTTCCTAAAACTTTTTATCTTTTGGAGCAAAGAACTATTCCAGGTGCCTTTTGCAGTCTTCCAGGGAATTGAAATTTTTTCCATTAAGAGATTTCCGTAATGATTGAAATAAATGGAAATCTGAAGGTGCAATGTCTGGTGAATATGGCGTGTGAATCAGAACTTCCCAGTCAAGCTGTAACAGTTTTTGCCTGGTCATGAAAGAAATATGTGGTCTTGCGTTATCCTAATGGAAGAGTATGCATTTTCTGTTGACTAATTCCGGATGCTTTTTGTCGAATGCTGCTTTCAGTTGGTCTAATTGGGAGCAGTACTTGTTGGAATTAATAGTTTTGTCTTCCAGAAGGAGCTCATAATAGAGGACTCCCTTCCAATCCCACTGTATACATAACATCACCTTCTTTGGATAAAGACTGGCCTTTGGTGTGGTTGGTGGTGGTTCATGTTGCTTGCCCCATCTCTTCTGTTTCATATTATTGTAAAGTATCCATTTTGCATTGTCCATCACAATTTGTTTAAAAAATGGAATGTTTTCATTACATTTAAGTAGAGACTCACATGCAGAAATACAGTCAAGATGGTTTTTTCCCACTTATGTGGAACCCAAACATCAAAGTGATTAACACAACCAAGCTGGTGCAAATAATTTTCCACACTTGATTTGGGTATTTTTGAGTATGTCACCTGTCTCCCAGGTAGTATTATGTTGATTGTCCTTAATTAATGTCTCTATTTGGTCACCATCTACTTCAACTGGTCTGACTGACTGTAGAGATCGTTCAAGTGAGAAATCTCCAGCACGAAACTTCACAAACTTCTTTTGACACGTTCGATCAGTCACAGCACCTTCTCCATATACCGCACAAGTCTTTTTTTGTATTTCAATTGTGTTTTTACATTTCTTGAAATAACAAAGCATAATATGTGGAAAATGTTGCTCATTTTCTTCCATCTTCAGTTTTAAAATGCCTACACAAAAATTCACCAATTTTGAGGTGTGTGTGTTTTTTTAAATGCATGCTGATGTGACAGCTGTCCCAATACAACCTAACAAAATTGCTTAGGATGACATTAAAGACAACAAAGAGCTACTAGAGACATCATACAGAAAAAAAAAAATGAACAAACCTTTTGGCCAACCCAATATGTATTGGGGTGATTGGCAATACCCCTGAAGTGGACCGTTTTGGAAAGGAGGCTGGCCAGACAAGTGCTGGTCAGCTGCTTGTGGGAAAGTGCTGCAATTTAATTTCTTATTGCAATTCCTTAATTTCCTTCCTGAGGTTATGCTAGGGGTCACCTTGTTTGGGATTTTGGGCACAATCTAAATTTTTTTTTTGCTAAAAACACTTCGTAAAACATGTAGCTTATATTTTATGCCCTGTGCTAGACACTGGGGTTCCAAAGAACAATGAAATAGGTTTTCATTCCTGGGGGTCTTGAGTCTAATGGGGGAGATTTATATATCTACAGATTAATTTTAGATTGTTTTACCTCTACCATTGAATGACTGATCATGTCCATTTTGTTTAAAACTGGTAGTTGAAAGTTATATTTTTACGATAGAAAATGTAGAAAGTACAGTACAGGAAAATAATAAGCATGTAACTATAACTATAAAAACCATCTCTACTTATCATCTGGTGATAACCAATGTTTTTTCCTCAGATTTTTTTCTTCTTCAAATCCATTTCATTCAAAAAAGAAAATATAAACAGTTAT